AGAGATAAAGACCAATTCTGACTCCTTCCTGGAGCTACTCCTGGAGAACTTACCAACTGTGACACACAGTGAGTCTTTACTCACTGGACACAGTAAATCTTTACTAATTTCTGGGTCCTGCTTGTCAGTTGTCCATGACATAATGATGGCAACCAACCTGCTCGTTATAGTTCCTAATTCTCAAATGTGCTCAAGAGGTTGAGGTTTCTTATTCTTTTCAAATATGTGGGCTTCCTCTGAGTTTTGTATGAAATTTGACCACCATCTGTTGCATCAGCAGAACCTGAAATGTTGGGAGTTTTCATAGTAGATGTTTTCTCTTTGGTCCACTGTACACCTGCAACCAGCATCCCATCCAGCTGTTACACAGTAGAAACCAAATGGCAGAGCAAATCTATTTGGATGGGCTACATCTGGTTCATAAATGTATAATGATACTTCTCTGAAGGAACCTTCTAGGCAACCCAGTAATTGTGGCATGTGGGCCATAGGCTGAATTTAAACTAGGCCAGTTTTTTTTTTAAAAAAAAAAAAGTTAAAAATAGAATAAGCTCAAGATACCATTTCTAGCGTGTGACAGGTTTTTCTGAAGTCAAGTTAATTTACTGACTGCCTACCTGGGAAGAACAACTTCCCTCCCTTGTCCTTTTGTCCAGGTTACTGGAAGACAAAGAAAGTTAAACTTAGGATCTTCAACATACTCTTACAGCTGGTTATAATACATAAACAGTGGGGAAATGCGGCCCTCAAACCTACCTTGAGGTGAGCCTATCATGGGTTTTCTTGGCAAGATTGGGTCAGAGGGGATTTGCCTTTGCCTTCCTCTGAGGCTGAGGAAGTATAACTTGTCCAAGTTCACCCAGTAGGTTTTCATGGCTAAATAGGGATTTGAACCCTGTTCTCCAGAGTCACAGTCCAACACTTAAACCACTATTCCACATTGGCTCTCATTCTTATACATAGTTCATGCTCATATATTGCAGTTCAGATGAAAATAATCATGCTAAATCACTGCCCAATGATATGCTGATGTGTGTGGCTCTATCTGGTTTGCAACCTATATGTCAAGGTTATGAATTCACTAAAGATCCACTGGGACCCCTTCAGTTGATGGTGTCAGTTCAACTTTCACTTCTGATTTTTCCTGCTTTATAAAGCTAGTTCCTAGGCCCTGCCTGAAGATGTGACCTTCTGCCCCTCCACATTTCACTAAAGCTTTCAATCTTTCTTTTTTAAAAAAGAGCAAGATATGTGAAACACATACTGAGATGCTCCTGGTTAAGTTATTTCACTAGAGATAAACATGAGTAAAACCTTGCCTCTGAGAAAACCAAACTCCACAGTGGGCCAACAGTTGATCTAAACTTTACATCTTTCTTGCCTTCTAATCTTCTTGGTCCTTCCAGGCAAAACTCCCTTATACTTATATATACAGGGGAATAATCATCTCCAGATACTGATACAGTGGTTCAAACATGACTATTTGAATTGGATGAGTTAGATTGAAAAGAAGTTTAGACTTCAGTCGTAGTTCTCTAGAACTGCATAAATACCTTCCAGGGGGTTGCTGTAGGAATCTGTTCCTGAAGGTCACCTGAAAGTCTAGCTTTGGCCAGATTCAAGTAGATCAGGGAAGAAAATGTTCTGGAGGTCAGGGAGACTACACCACCCTATTTTCAGCTCCTCAAGAGCTCTTAAGGGCTGCAGACACAGTGTTGCACAATACATTGAAGCCAATCTGACTAATTTAAAGCAGTGTAAACAATAAATATGATTTTAGAAAGCTAGAATTATAGAATCATAGAACTAGAAGGTACCACAAGAGTCATCCAGTCCAACCCCCTGAAATGCAGGAAGACACCATCAAAGCCCTACCTGTGACATATGGCCATCCAGCCTCTGTTTCAAAACCTCCAAAGGAGGAGACTCCACCACATTTTGGGATAGCATCTTCCACTGCCAAACAGCTCTCACTATCAGGACGTTCTTCCTAATGTGGCACAGTGGTTAAATGACTGTAGTTTTGAGTTCAATACCAGCCAGAGGCTCAGTGTCACTCAGCCTGGCATCCTTCCGAGGTGGCTAAAATGAGTACCCAGTTTGTTGGGGGCAATTAGCTTACACATTGTAAACCACTTAGGAAGTGCTTAAGTAATAAGCAATGTAGAAATGTACTTGTTATTGCTATTGCTATTGCTAATGTTGAGGTGGAATCTCTTTTCCTGTATTTTGAACCCATGAAAAGAGATTCTACCTAAACATTAGGAAGAACTTTGTGACAGTAAGAACTGTTTGACAGTGGAATATACTGGCTAAAAACATATTAAACAATTTAGCAAAGAAAGAGGGTGACTAAAACAGGCTAAAATAATTTCAGATTAGCAGAGATAAATCCACCTCCTTGTTGCAAGCCAACATATCTACTAATTCTGTGCATCACTGCGTGATATTCTCCACCAGCTTGATTCCTGATCTACATCTTACTCCTTGGACTGTTCTCTTCAGTGATTCCCTGAATGCCTTTGGATTGTTCTTGGAATGTTTATCAAGCCTAGACTGCAAATTCCATTGACTAAGAGCCTTATTGCATTACAAACATACCTGGCAGGCAAATGGCAAGAAAAATATTTCAATTTAAATCTCCGGATGACATAGAAACACTTTCATTCTCTTCTAGTCCTAAAAACATGGAAGAGGGTCATAAAAGTGCCATAAAAGTGTCCCTTTTGCCAAGCTTAAAAAATCTGTTTGATAAAAGGGAAGCTTTTATGACTTTCTCCCACATTTTTACAATAGGAAGAAAATGAAAGTGCTTCAGTGTCATGCAGGGACAGAAAGAAAAATGTGCTTCTCTCTGTTGCCCTGTTGAGTTTGAAATGCAAGGATCAAAGCTTCTGTTCTTATGGACTCTCTGTGTATAACCTGGACTATGAATGATCTTTGATCCTAATTTAATTTCACAATTTCTTATTCCCTTGACCAATAGGCATACTCTCCTGGATACTGAAACAAGACTTTCTTTCCTCTAGCCTGTTACTTGAACCCTTTTGCAGCAGAAGATTAAAAGGAAGCAAGTGAATACATGCTTTTTGGATTTTTGTTCTGTTCCTGAACCCTTTTGCAAAAGATGTCAGAATTGGAACCTGAAATCTCTTGCATGGAGAACAGGTTTTCTTCTGAGCTAAAGTCTTGCTCTCACAGAAATCAAGGTGGCAAAATGTATGTTCTCCCACTCATATATACATTACATACTTACATCAATTTGAGACTTTTTTTGTGTGTGTCTTCAGAGCAGCTGCTTCACCAATGAATGAAAGATCCAGCCTACAGTAATATAGTTGGCAAAATACAGTATGGTTTAATTATTACCTTATAACTTGCACAACCAAAACTGCAATGTCATGACTTGATAAATGTTGTTTTGAAATTCTTCTGAAAGCACCCTGCAATCATGGGTCATATTTTGACAACCAGTTTGAGAACCTTCCCTGTGAGATGCCCAAATGTTATGAGAAGGCAATTTCACACTTTCAGATGTTTATGAAACTTATCAGATCCTGAATGACAGTTTGAATCTTTATTCCAGGTTTATTGGTAATAACAAGAGCTCTGCTGTCAAGTCAGGCAAAGCTGCCATTGATCCAGTATATTATCTGGAGGCACCATTACATAAAAAAATACACTGAACAAAGCAAGGAATCAGGTGATGATCTCATTGTTAGTCCTGATCAGAGCAGATGTGTGGAATGAATGGGCTTTTCACACATCAGGGATTGGGCAAGTGCAGTCCCTGGATCTCATAAAGTCCAAAGAATATTTTTGTAGTCCCCTCACCACAGCCCTTCAGCATCTCCCAAAAAAAAAAATGTTTTCCCCCCAAAGGTCCACAATATACCCAAGGGACCTTGGGGAGATTTTTTTTTAAATGCAAGGCATAGTCTCTTAAAAGTCAGTGTTAAGACATTAACCTCAACAATTGCCCGCCCCTAACTTATGGGCTGATTTACCTTTGAGCCAACTAGATTTTGTATTCTCCACAATAGCCATGGGCTTGATGGAAAGATCTCTATATGACAAGAAAAAAAGCCCATGTGGATTTTCTAGAGCAGGGGTGGGCAACCTATGGCCTGCAGGCTGGGTGTGGCCCGCGGAGGCCTTGGGACCAGTCCATGGCCGGTTCCGCCGCTGCAGCCATCACCGCTGCCCCTGTGCATGCACACATCCAAAATTGTGTCCCCATGCACACATGCATGCACATGATGGCCCGCCCACCCGGCTTCCTTGGGTTCCAGAGTCTAAGGGCAGCCACTGAGAAGGTACTTTCTCACGTCCCCACTAACCATGTTTGCAATGGTGGTGGGACTGAGAGAAGGGTCTTTTCTGATAATCTCAGAGCCCAGGCTAGCTCATACAAGGAGATACAGTCTGCCAGTCATCCTGAGCCTGAGATGTACAGGGCTTTATGGGTCATACCCAGCACTTTGAAATGTGCCCAGAAACAAACTGGCAGCCAAGGAAGCTGTTTAACAGGGGAGTAGTATAGCATG